ATTACAAAGGCTGGCCCAGATGAGGAAATAAACCCTGAGGATTAGATAATTACTCAAGGGCCCACAGCAGTCAGTGGCGGAGTCAGAAATAGAAGCCAAATCTGACTGGTCAGACCCTGTCTCTCAGCACCAGATATCACTGCACCTTCCTACATTCTTCAGGTGTGTAAACACTTGCAGAACTCATAAGAAATGAGCAGAAATTTAATTTCCAATTATATTTTAAAACTGATCTTTGGTGAGTCATTTTTAGATGACTTGCTAGCATATAAATAACTACCCTCTGTTCACTCTGTAGTATGATGCACAGTGTGCTTCCAACAACTGTCTGAGCCAGATACCATGTATCACATGAGTGTGGAGTATATGGTTGTTGGTTATCACGGATCTATTGAAGTAAAAACTTATCCCTATCCAGCATAGATACTGCTTAAGATTTGCCTCTCTTTTTCCTCCCACTTCTCCCCTTTTTCTGCTTTATAATCAAACTCTATACCTCTTGCTCCATATTTGTCATCTGAAGAAGTGGGTTGTGCCCAGGAAAGCTCATGATACTATTTATATATTTTAGTTAGTCTCTAAGGTGCTATAGGACCATTGTTCTTTAATCTGTAATTTAAGGTCTTTTTAAACATGGCTACTCTTCTGAGACTGCTTCAGATTTGTTTTTCTACTCAGTTAATAATAATATAGGTCATTTATTGTTCAAGGAAAATTATACTCCCTAACATGAAATTACTGTACAGCAGCTGGATCAAAGATACTCCAGTGCTACCGTAATTTTTCTATCCTTGCTAATCTTGCCCTCCTTCCTTCGCTAGCCTCACATTTTCTCCCCAATGCTTCTATTAAAAATACATTATAAATCAACATATCGTAACTTATAAATACTTCCTATACTGTAAACAGCAGTGTCTTCACCCAGCTGTGAAGCGCAGAGACAGGTTATGAATTAGCCAAGGTCAAACACAGATGCAGTGGCTGAACCCGGTAGAAACAAGAAATTGGACAAGCACTGCCCTTTAATCATTAGATGCAGAATATGGTCATGATGTAAAAACTTTCAAACATAGCTCTAAGCTGTATGAAGTAGGGATATTAGATATCATGTAACTGTGTTAGAGGCAGCAGCATGGGGTAGCAGGTGGGAGCTGGTCTTCAAGGGGAGCCTGCCACCCCATGCTGCTGCCTCTGATATGGAGGCAGCAGCGCGGGGTGGCAGCAGCCCCCGTCTGCTGGGGGACCAAGCTCCCTACAGACAGAGACTACTATGCCTCTGACAGAAGTGCAAGGGAAGGGGGCAGATAGTACTGCAGAGCTAGTGCTTGGGGGAACCAGCTGCCCCCAGCACTGGCTCCTGCCTGCACACTTCCACTACTTGTGTAGGAGGCAGCAAGTGGAGGCTGGGGAAGGGGAGAGAAGGCAGGTCTTCAAGAGCCAATATGTGCGGGGAGCTGGCTCCCCGTGCTTATTGACTCCAGACTGCCCTGACCCTCCACGAGCTGCCTATTAGAGACAGCAGTGTAGGGGTGGGGAGCTGCCTCTGATACAGAAGCAGCAAGGGGGGAGGGAGGAATGTGTGTAGTCAACAAGATTAACTGATAAGCCCAGGCTTATCAATCAATCATGTAGTCTACACGAGCACATACCTAATATGAAGTACACAAGCTAACATCAGTTTTATAGACCCATTAGATTGAAAATTGTACTTATTCTATAACTTTATTAAAACAAGGACAAAACAGATGAAATTTGGTATGATAGGAAAATCAGTTTTGTCTGCTAACAATGGTTGCCATTTTGAAGTCTGAATGACAAACAGTTAAAAAAAAATCTTTCAGTATTCATTATTGCAGAGACAAAGATGAAGCAACCAGGAGGGCATTATATATTTTACTATTTGAATCTAAGACTTAAAAGTAAAGAGAACTCAGTCAAATTGTATTTTAATCTTCTAATGTATGAGTGAAAGCTTTGTACTGGAGTAGTTTACCAATGTGTATCTACAGCTGTGGTCTGACAGGGTAGTATAGAAGTTACTATATGTCAATTACATGGGCTATGTCTAGACTCCAGGATTTTTTTGAAAAAAAACTTCACCTGTGTCTAGACTGCCACCTGCATTCTTTTGAAATTAAATCGAAAGAACACAGTGCTTTTTTCGACAGCAGTAAACCTCATTTTATGAGGAAGAACGCCTTTTTTTTTTTTTCAAAAGAGCTCTTTCGAAAAAAGGTGTTCTTGACCATAAACGGTGCTTTTTTGAAAAAAGTTGTGGCTGTCTAGACCTTCTCTTTCGAAAGCTTTTTCTAAAGCTTCTTTTGAAAGAAGTATGTAGTCTAGACGTACCCATGATGAGTGTATGTATGCAGGGAGAACTCTCATAGGCATAAAAAAATACTTATCACTATCTTCTGTAGGGTGTTAATCTGTCAATTACTATGGTTCAAAGTAGGCATTGTCCCTTTTACTGAAGCAGTTTCAAAGGAACCATTGTGGTCCAAATAGATCAATACTCTACAGATTTAGAGTTTTTGGCTTGTTTTTGTTTTTATAAACCAAGAACCCCCCTACTCTACAAAATAAATACAGAGATGCAAATGTACCATTTTATTTTCTCTTGGTGATCCTATTAAGCCAATCTTTACTACTACAAGACTCAAAACTACCCCATTCTTATTCTTAAACTCTCCATTTGTAACCTCCATTACGTCTGGCAGTGCAGAGTAGGCTTTTCATTTCTTATATGCTGAAATATCCAGGCAAATGCATTACAGCCTTACTTGCTTCTGTGCAGATTTCAGGCCCTTAGCAGTCATTGCAATGTATTAATATATAGGTGGGGTGCACTATTGTAACTTATTGCCATGACTTTGGTAAAGTAATGACAAAATGTAACTGCATTTGCATGAATACGAATTCACCTATTGGTGTACTTCACTTTTAGTCTCCAAATTTGAACATTTTTAGCCTTGACTCCTTGTATTTCTGGCCAACCAATTAATTAAAGTGGCTATTAGAAAGTTAGACATTTGTATTTTTTTCTTCTTGAAGATGTTTGGGGTTTTTTTTGGGGGGGGGGGATTCTATTTTTTTGTAACACTGGGCAATTCCTTTTGGCCAGTGCCAAGATACTGCCACAGTTGGTTCAGACTTTCCAATCCAACCTGAAGATGTCACATTTTCTACTCTTCACCTACATGCACAGTTCTCAAAGACTGGATGTGCTCCTTCAGCTATCAATACCCAAAGCTAAGCATTTAACAGCAAGTGAACCACCAGATAGGAACAAGAGCAGTTCAGGCAAAATTTGTTCCTCTGAGGGTATTCACCATTGCTGTCTGATTAGTCTAGAGGGGCTGCCAAACAGCACTAGCTTCCTACTAGAGCTCAAATTGCTGTTCACTATGGCAGCAGCATCTTCAAAGTTTATGACTCTAGGGTTCTCTCAGATATTCTCTAGTTCATGAAAAATGCTTGATGTGCATTACTTTTTGTGGCACTCATGGTATTCCATGCACTTACAGAAAGGGACAATACTTGGCTCATGAAGCTCACTGTTTAAGAATATCTGAGTTTTAGCCAAAGTGTTGAAAGGAAAGGGACATGTAATTCATGCAGTATCCCAGTTACCCCATCACCTACTCTAGGCTCTGTCCAGAACTCTGCTTCTTCTCTCCATTGGGGGAGCCTGGCCATCAGGTTGAGCCTAAAGACTCCATCCCAGACCTTGTACCCCATCCTACACATGTCCCCCAGGTTAGAAGCCCAGTATCTACACCCCATCACAACACCTTCTCAAATCCCTTACCCCATGCGCCCAGCCTCCAACCTAGACCCTGCATCCCCTCCACAGAAAAGTGTGGCCCTTCACCACTTACCAAAACCTTGGAGTAGCCCCCCACCAAAAATTATTGCCCACCCATATGCTAGGCCCGTGGTCACCAACTGGTCGATCACAATCGACTGGTCGATTGCGAGGCCTTGACCAGTCGATCGCAAGGCGTCCTGTCTGCCCCGCCCCCATTTCTCTCCCACCCCCGAGAAGCCCCACTACCTACCTCCAGTGAAAATGGAGGTAGTATAGGCTTCCCGTGGATGGACAGAAGTCCTGCAGCTTAGCGCTACTTCTGGCAATTCCAGAAGTAGCACTAGCTGCTCTGCCGGGTGTACTGCAGGAGGGAGCATCAGCTCCCTGCACCGCACAGGAGGGGTGAGTCAGCCCCGGGGGAGGCATGCGGGGTCAGCCCTCAGGGCAGGCACGCGCGGGGTCTTCCTGCGGCAGGGGGTCAGCCCCCAAGGCAGGCGCGCACACCAGGGGGATTCCCTGTGCTGCAGGTGGGTCAGCCCCAGGGCAGGCATGCATTGGTTTCCCTCTGGGGGCGGGGGAATCCTGGGAGGAGGCAGATACAGGGGACTCTCTGCCTCCACTGGCACCCACTCCCCAGCTACAGAACTCTGTCCCTATTCCTGTCCCCACTGGCACACTGTCCCCTGCTGCAGAACCCTGTCCTCTGCCCTCCCAGCACCCTGGTCCCTCTCCCCTGCCCCCAGCCGCAGAACTCTGTCCCCACAAAATGTATAATTATAAATGCTTCATTTTAGATTTAAATAGCATGAATAAAAAAGACCATTTATTTCATAACTATAAACATCTGATTTTAATTTTATACATCGCATAATTTAAAAATAAACTGTTTATCAGAGTGTGTAAGTAAGGGCTGGGGATAGCAAATGATGGACAGGAGGAGAATAGAGAGGGCGGAGGCTTCAAGAAAGGGGCATGGCAGTAGATCTTTGTCTGTTCGGAAATTTAAAAAGTGATCTTGGGTGTAAAAAGGTTGGAGACCACTGTGCTAGGCCAATAGGGATACCAGATGGGTTTAAAAAATACTGGACACAGGTGATCTCAGAACAGCAGGGCTGACCCAGGTACATGCTGCACAGCCCAGGGATTCCATCCTGCCCCGACCCCCTCCTTTCTACTGCATAGTTGCATACTGCCTGGCTGACAGACACTCTCACGCAGTGTACATACTGATAGTCATGATGACAATAAAACTAACAATTAGAAAATACCAGACATGTATATCCCAATTTATTTCCCAGACAGAAAGCTCAAAAACCGGACTGTCCGGTTCAAAACTGGACACCGGGCAACTCTGTAGGCGAAGTATAAGAGCAGACTCACTTGAAAAAAAATCATAAAATGTTCACTATAAAATTGCCCTTATTCAAGGATCAAAAACTTCCTCCTTAAGGAAAAGTAATGTCCAAATACAGCAAGTTTACCCATTCTTCATATCAGTCACAAAAAAGGCTGAATTAATACTGATGACTACATTTTGGCAACACTTGGTCATGACCTTATTACCAAATCCTGTGAGCTTAGGGTGGCTGGGTTTTTTTCTCTCTCCATTTTCTTTAAAGTGATTTTGCATGCTCAAAACCTCACAGATGGGAATGTAATAGAGCCTGCCTTTTGGGGAAAACTAAGAGTCACCTGCTTTTCCCATTAGCAGCCCATGAACGGTTGTGCAAATACTATACCTAACATCCTGGCAGCAGGTGAATATTTGTAGATCCTAGGGGACTAATCTAGTAATATTGTAAAATCCTGCTCTAAATTTTGCAAACACATTATTTTTACAAAAAACTCTTTTTCTGTAAAGGTACAATTTTTCCTTTTTCAGCAGAAGGGTCCACTCTCAATGAGAATTTTAAAATGTCAATACAGATTAAATTCAACTGTAATGGATTGTTTTAGAACATGTGCAGACTAAATGTCACAATACCAAATTTCAAACTTGGAATAACAAAGGGATTTCAGCTTTTTCTGACATCCTTAAGCTAGAAGGTAAGGTAGTCGGGGGCAAAATTTTGTATTACTACATCTCTAATGAAGATGCCAACATTATTTTCTCATTTCTAGCAAATATTTGACTGGCGCACTGAAATTTTAGGATGTTAGTTTCACAATCAACCCACAAATTAACAACAAACAGCCATTTAAACTAATGCAAGATTGAGATATTATAACAGAATACCACAAAATACAAGCTTAAAAATACAACTTAACACTCCCCACCCTTTTTTTCTTTGAATCAAGTAACAGTTCTGTCTAGTTGGGCAGTATACCTTATATTTTCAGGTAATATAACCAATGTATTATAACAAAGTAAACCAAACCAAAAGACAGACAGGGTTTTAAAATCATTCTTTACTATGTTAAAAACCCCAAAAAACGTGCACCAGTCTTGGACCCATAACAAGGTACTGTCTCTCTAACAGCATAGTTACTCTGTAACACTTCACCACTGGAGTTATGAAAGTATAATACTCCTCCTCACAATTCCCACTCATCACTTACCATGTTATATACCAAACAAAGTTATAAATCTCTTCCCTGTGATGCTATTTTTCCTAGTGTGATATCTTTGATTTTTGTGGTACAGTTTGTTTATGGACATCTGAATTATTCCGTCCTGTACCAGTCCAAGAGGCATAGCCATGTCAGTTTGTATCTGCAAAAACAATGAGGAATCCTGTGGCACCTTAGATTAGGGCATAAGCTTTTGTGGATAAAACCCACTTCATTAGATGAATAGGAGTAGAAATTACAGAAGCAGGGATATAAATACACTATTATAACAAAAGAAAGATGTTTCTTATCAAAGTGTAGGACCAGTGTTAAGAAGGCCAACTCAGTCAGGGTGGATGTGGCCCATTCAACTCTGTAGTGCACCAGAATTCATATCCAGTCTTGTTCTGAAAGCTTTGGGGTGTGTTTGTTTTTTAAAGCATGTCTATTACTGATGCAATAGATGATCAGATGTTGTTAACAAGGCTCTTCAGACCTGCAGGCAGCATCAGTGATGTTTTTAAATTTTGACTTACATGAAGTTTAACCTCATCTGAAATATTTCTTTCAATGGAACTTTGTTGCTTTTTAGCAGTCTCAAGAGTGTGTTACCAGTACCTAGAAAGGCAGATGCATTGACAAATAAACTTAACTTAGTCCTGAGACATTAATTAAACTGATTTGTTTCAGGTATTTGTACAGCTGCAAAGAAATTGTATTACGAAGAAATACAGCAGGAAGTCTTGGGTTTAGCATCGTGGGCGGTTATGAAGAACACAATGGGAACAAACCGTTTTTTATCAAATCCATTGTTGGGGGGACACCAGCATACAATGATGGAAGAATTAGGTAAAGATGACAACTAATGAAAATTTCAATAATACTCTTCATTCAAGAAACTCAAAAGGACTGTATAATTAAATATTAAATATGGGGAGACTGATCCAAATAGACCAAGTGTTACAAAGAGGGCTTAGTTGCATACCAGTTCAATTAAAACTTGCATTACATCCAGTCAAGTGTAAACCTTTGACAGAGCTGGAAATATAACCCGAAACAGAATCCTGTGCTTTAAACATGTGATAATATTCTGCCAGGAAAGCAAGTTTATATCTATCAACATTACAACTTCACAGATGTCTTTTATGCTATTTACAAAGTAACAGATTAGAACAATTCTATGTATTTCCACACTGACAGCTAAAACGTTCATTAAAATCCAATGTTGGGGGTGTGTGGGTGAGAAAATATAGGTGACTGAAGGACCTGTCAGTTCTTACACTGTTTTACCATATAGATCTGATTTGTAAAGAAATGCAAGGAAAAAACAAATACACATGAAGTAAAAACACAAGGATTCTTTTACCAGCTTACCTTCAGCGTCCTCAGTTTTTTCACCCGTCTCTTTGGGTCCTGCTTAGTAGCTGTCATCCTTCTGGCAAATGGTGACACAAGGTTATAGAAGCAGTGAAAGCAAGAAAGGTTTCTGAGGTCAGGCTCGCATCTTGGTTAAGGGAGTTTAATTAATCTTATCTACACTTTTATTTTTCCAGATGCGGTGATATCCTCCTTGCTGTCAATGGCAGGAATACATCGGGAATGATGCATTCCTGTTTGGCAAGGATGCTCAAAGAACTGAAAGGAAAAATTACTCTCACTCTTGTGTCCTGGCCTGGCACTTATTTATAAAACAAGTATTTATGGGAAAATGACAGATCATTTGATACAGAAAACAAATGGAGATGAGTTTTCCTACACTTTTTTTGGTCAACTGTATATTTGTAAAAAAAAACTTTGTGAAAATGTAAGTTTGTATGTCAAGATTGTTTTAAGAAATATGGCACCTGTCAGAAAACGTGCACTTCAGAAAGAAGCAAATCTACTGAAATTACAGATCAGGGTACAAGTCTGATTCATTATTATGGTCAAAGTTAAACATAAAATATAAAAATACAAAGACCATTAAGAAGCAGCAGTAATTCTGTTCATCACCACCTTCAATTTATAAAAAAAAAGTTATAGAAAAATACAATGATAAACTTGAAATATTTTTCTACTGACTGTTTCTATTGGTCAGTATGATGCTGATATTTTCAAGACTTTCAAATATTTTGTCTCTTAGAATGTAATACTGTGAATGAGATTTTATTTCAAAAATTATTAAAAATAAATGTAACTATTAAAAATGTATTTTATTTTAGATTTCTTGAAGAAAACAAATATAATTCGTCCCAAAATTTGACTAACTGCAGATAATCTAGAAAGATTAGGATTTCATATTTAACTTTTTTAAAATTCATGGATAAATTATTAAATGTATTTCCAGATTGACTGCTGATATTTAACTTTTTTAAAATTCATGGATAAATTATTAGATGTATTTCCAGATTGACTGCTGATTATCTATTTGGATAGTGGTAGTACATGTTTTACTAGACTCAAACCTTTTCTGAAGATAATATGTTCAAAAGAGTGTCTTTTCCGCTCCCCTCAAACAATTATAGGTGCTCTTCATTGAAATTACTAATATTTTGAAGTCAGAGCTTTCCATTAACTTTTTTTTAAAAGGTATTCTGGACAGTTGTCTCTAGAAAATATGCCAAGTCCAACTTTATTTTACAAGGGCCAGAGAAGCAGGACTAAAGGATAACTACTTTTGGTTTCCATTAAACTGGTTATCCAATCTTTAATCATTTTAACTATTTAAGTCATCCTCCTGCACTAATTTGTATATTTTAAAATGGTGTTAAACATTTTATATGTAATATAAATACTCTCCAATCACACAAATAATAAGGTGAATATTTTACGTTTTTCTAATATTTCTGCCATACCTTCCAGTATAAGTTTCTCAAACACCTCTCACTTCTCCTATGGCACAGAAAAGGATGAATTTATTTATGTAATGAATTAAAATGGCAAAGCTACACTTCAAAGATCCATTAGCACTGTTTTAGATGTATTGGCAGGTGTTAATATGCAGTAACATGAAAGCAATCCAACCTCAATACAGGAGAATAAACTTCCCCAGCTTCTACTGACTTTAGGAACAAGAGAAAGTTTTGGGGTAAGTTGGGTGTAAGTTTCCTACAATACTGCAGTAACATCACCCTTTAGTCCTTAGAGCCAGTGCTGCACTTTCCTTTAAATATCTTAAAAAGAAGATGAAGTCAATCCATGAATCTTAACTTAACATGAAAAATTCACTCTTTTATTTTCAAAAAACAAATTAACCTTATATTTTGTACTAACAGAACAAGATTAAGAGTAAATTTCTTTAATACCCAGAAAAATAACAAGATTTATAGTAATCTATTTCTGGCACTAATATATATGCAAGTAGGCAAATATCACTCATGACTATTCCACAGGCGCAGCTTCAGTATTTTCCTGTTCAGGGGCAGGTTCACCACTAGCTTCTTTTCCTTCTTTGCTTCTTTTGGACTTTTTGTGTTTGTGCCTCCTGTGGCTGTCCCCTTCTTCACTGTCGTGACGACGCCTGCTGTTACTAAGAGAAAAAAGAAAACGCTCAGTCACACAAACAAGCACTCTTCTATTATACACTTTTTGAGGGCCTACTTGAGAAATCTGCATCTTGCACATGCAACTTTCATGCCATGTGCAGTACTTGAAAATGTGGACAAATAAGATTAAGAAGCGATCAGAACAAAATGTGCATCACAATCAAGCTTCATATTTAATAAATAGCTTTTATGCATCCACACCATACTTTGAACCAAGAGTGACACATTCTGTCTCTAAAAGCGACGAGGAGTCCTGTGGCACCTTATAGACTAACTGAAGTGTAGGAGCATAAGCTTTCGTGGGCAAAGACCCACTTCGTCAGATGCATGTCCCTGACGAAGACATGCTCCTACACTTCAGTTAGTCTATAAGGTGCCACATGACTCCTCGTCGCTTTTGCAGATTCAGACTAACACGGCTACCCCTCTGATACTTGACATTCTGTCTCTAAATGTATCTCCTATTCTAACTGCAAAGTTTCATCCTTACAGCTTTAGAATGCCCCTACAGGTAATTCCTTTAATGTTTTTGTTATTCCCCAGCACTTATACTCCTTATACAAATTATATCATTAAGGTCCAAACAAAGGATTTTACACATTGCCTCAGGTAAAGCCAATGGAGACATTACACAGTAACCCTGGACCAATACCTCTTTTCAGCTACATATCTTTTATGTGACAGTTTTGCTGCAGGCAGCACATGGGAATCTTTGCAACCTTTCCATGATACACCAACTTTTTTTTAAATATCCAATTAAAGATCATACCTTCGAGATGATTTGTGTCTAGTCTCTTCTTTTTCTCTATGTCTCCTTTCTCTGTGTCGTTCCTCTTTCTCTCTGCTTGTTCTGTGACGTTCATAGCCTCTTTCCGCATATTCTCTATACCTATATCGCTCTTCATCACTTATGGGAAGAAAGAAAAAAATCTTTCAGCGAGCTAATGAAATGTTCAAGTGGCTGGGGACACACATTCTAACATTTACACAACAAATTGCAAAACAGACTCAACATATGTCAGGATTCATAAATACCATCTACTGCATATGTTAAAAAGCTAACATTGTTTGGCTTAAGAGCTAGACCAAGGGTCAGCCACCTTTCAGAAGTGGCATGCCCCAGTGTACTCTTCTGCCCAGAAGGTGCTCTCTCCACACTGCACCCAGCTTGGTCTCCCTGCCCTGGACTCCCAGGCATGGGGAGGCAGCGCATCTCCCACATCCCGGGAACACGTGCTTTCCTGCAAGCTGGGTCTGGTGTGGAGCCTCGGGGCTCCCCCCCCCCAGGAAGCTGGTTCCAATCTTGGGGTGTGTGTGTGCATGATACTGGATTGAGGATACTGGGGAGGAGCAAGGGGGAGCCTGTTCATTGCATGTGACACTGAAAATCATCTTGCATGCCACTTAAAGCATGCATGCCATACATTGCCAACCCCTGGGCTAGACTAAGTACTCGGAGTCTTGATATTTTGACCTAAGAAAGTACTGGGGCGAGGAAAAATAAATTAGCAGCATCTTATTAAATAAACACACAGCTTATTATGCAATAATTCAAATTTTGTAAGAAACTCACATGAAAATGTATTATATTTTAGTTTTTGAAAGAACACACTAGCTATTTCTTCTCAGTATCTCAAAGGTGTTAAAAAACATGCAGTAACATCCATGATGGAAAAATCTAGGCATATAGGAGGCCTTAAACTGTAAAAAGATACTGTAAAATATATAAGATCCTGTAAAATATTGTAGCTTAGGTATGACTCCATAACATCTCAGTTTAAATGTATACTGTAACATGTCCTGTCCTGCTAAAACACATGTCAACAAAGAGTTCCATAAAGTAAGAAGCTGACAGTAAATGCTTATTTGAATTTACCCGAACAGAAAACACAATAGATTTTAACATTTTTTTTTCTTATTCACCCCTGCGAACAACATGTATCCAATGTACTTTTGTTTTGAAACCTGTTTATGAAAATTGCTGTGTCAGAGTTGGGTATTATTTACGACTTGGTTAAAAAACAGATGCAGTGTCATAGGTAACATTTGACACCTATGCTGCTCAATGAAGATGAGTTGATAGAATAGTAACATTTAACAAATTCTTAGTTTCCATAGCTTCAAAAAAAAAAAAAAAAAAAAAAAAAAGGGATATCTCTGCAAGTTAAGAACCTGAAAGTTAAGTGCAGGCTAATGTGATCACACTATGAGTTAGTGACTAGCTAAAAGGAATAAGAACTTACTGGCTTCCAAGTTATAGCAAGAACTAAAGCTCCACATTTTCAGTGTAAGCCAACATTCAATATATCACTGTCTTTTCCTTCAAAGAACTGGGGACCTTGTGTGCAGAAGAATCCTTGTGGTTCCACTAATCAGGAGGAATTTGGGGAGGCTGTGCAAGATATACCTTCTACATGAATTAGAGCCAGGCTCCACAGAGATTCCCACACGTCAATGAAATGGAAATTTGGATGAGAGAAAATTGATCTGCCACTATATGGCGCCAGTGGCCATTTCTTAAGGGTATGTCTACACAGCAGTGTTTTTTCGCAATAACTGACATTACTCCTAAAAAACACAGTGTGTCTACACTACAAGCAGTTATTTTGACATAATGTCAAAATAATGTCAAGTTGGAGGACTTCTTACTCTGACTCCTGTAACTCTCCGTTTACAAGGAATAAGGGAAGTCAGAGGAAGAGTGCTCTTAGACTTCCTGCTGTGTAGATCGTGCCAAAAGCCGAAATAAGCTAGTTTGACTTAAGCTACCCAATTGATGTAACTCAAGTTACGTAGTTTATTTTGGCTTTAGCCCTGCTGTGTAGACATGCCCTAACAGAACTACTGCATTTCTGACTACTCCATGCTTGAGCATAAAACTTGCAATGGGGGTGAAGAAAAGGAAATAAACACCTGAATGAGTACAATCAAGTTTCACAACGGGTTTCTATATGTTGCTTTGAATGATTTTACTGTTGTGGACCAGTAAAATTAGGGACTGCTATGGCAGCTAAATCTTGGGTACATAATTGAAAAATTTCCTTGAAAATTACAGAATGCTAATTCCAAAAAAATTACACGGCACTTCAGCAAATGGATTAATGATAAAGGAAGCCAATGAATGTTATTTGTTTCTCCATAATATGTTAAAATATTTCATCCATTAAAATATGGGACAACAGCCACCACTGGTTAGCTCACAGTAATGATTCATTGCTAAGTAATACAACTGGATTGACTAATCCTGACTCCTGAACCCCTGACAGTTCCAGCTTCCTGCCCTCAGCCCCCTACATCTCCAAGCTCCTGCCCTGACTCCTGCACCCCCACAGACCTCAGGGACATAAGCAATGATGGGTAAAAAAAAAACCACACACACACAAGATGCTGTACTGGACCCACAATACACTCCTATTGTATTCTTCTTAGGTATCCAACACCAGAATACATAGTTCAAAACAAGTTGAAGTAGTTTCACTAGAAAAGGACACTTTACTGAATTCCAACTGTAGTAAGAGTAGGGCTGTCAATCAGTTAACTCAAAAAGTTAATCATGATTAATTGCACCAACTGAAGTATATTAAATATTTGAGAGTATTCTTCTACATTTTCAATATTAATTTCAATTGCAAAACAGAATACAAGCTTCAGAGGGGTAGCCAAGTTAGTCTTGAAAGTGCTGTTAGACTATTTGTTGTTTAAGTTTTTCCTGTTACAGACTAACAAAACATGTCATCTGAAAAAGTGAGTTGTACCCACGAAAGCTCATGATACCATCTACATGTTTTGAGAGTCTTTAAGGTACAGAATACAAGATGCACAGTGCCTCGCTTTATATTATTATTACAAATAATAATGTAAAATGATAAAAGAAATAGAATTTTTCAGTTCACCTCATACAAGTACTGAAGTGTAGTCTCTCAACTCTGAAAATGTAACTTACAAATGTAGATTTTTTTTGATTACCTAACTACACTCTCAAACAAAACAAACTTTAGAGCCCACAAATCTACCCAGTCCTACTGCTTGTTTTGCCAATCACTAAGACAAACAAATTTGTTTATCTTGATGAGAGATTCTGCTGCCTGCTTCTTATTTATGTCACCAGAAAGAGAGACCAGATGGTCACATGGCACTTTTGTAGTCAGTTTTGCAAGATATTCACTGCCAGATATGTTAAACATTCATATGCCTCTTCATGCTTCGGGTCACCATTCCAGAGAGCATGCTTCCATACTGATGATGCTCTCTAGAAAAATAATGCATTAATTAAATTTGTGACTGAACTTATGCTGGTGCCATCTGACTCAGATGAGATGAAAATAAACATTCATCAGTCTGGATCATTATCTAGAAAAACCCATCATCAGTATAGATTAATGTACCCCTAGGATGGTGGTTGAAGCAAGAAAGGACATCTGAATCTTTAGTGAATCTGGCACATAAATATCTTACAACGCTCATTACAACAGTGCCAAATGAACCCCTGTTCTCACTTTCAAGTGATATTGAAAAGAAGAAGCAGGCCGCATTATCTCCAGTAAGTAGTAACTAAATTTGTCTGTCTGAGGCCAGGTCTACATTAAACCCAGACGGTCAGCTTAAGGTATGCAACTTCAGCTATGTAGACTATATAGCCGGAGTCGGCTTACCTTCTTCAGCTGAGCTTGGCACTATCCCCAGAGGTAGAAGCTGACAGGAGCAAATGCTCCCATTTACTTCTCTTACTCAAGAGCAGGAGTATGGGCCGCCAGTGGGGGGGCCCTGTGAGTTCAATTTTCTAAATCGAACTCTAGAAGATCAATCATGGCAGCGTCAATCTTCTGCAGAGTGAAGACAAGGCCTGAGTGTTTGGCTGAACAAGAAGTAGGACTTGTAATCAATTGTTTTATTTTTGAATGCAGAAGTTTTTGGTACAAAATTCTATATTTGTAAGTTCAACTTTCATGATAAAGAGACTGCACCAGAGTACTTGTATGGGATTCAATTAAAAATACAATTTTTGTTCACATTTTTGTGCAAATGTGCAATTTTTGTTCAAATGTTTTGTGCAAATATCTGTTGTAATTAAAACTAAATATAAAGTGAACACTGTACACTTTTGCATTCTGTGTTGTAATTGAAATCAATATATTTGAAACATAGAAAACCAAATATTTAAAATAAAATAAAACTCTAGGACAAATCTAAGAAACCATTTGTGTAAAGGGTCTATAGAAATATGGAAATATGCATCTTGGAGATCAAGGTCTGAGCCAGTCCTCCTATTGCAGAGCTCGGATTATAAATTATTAACACGACCACCCTGAAGCACTGCAGTTTGACAAATCAAGAACAGGTCTCCATCTGCTGTTCTTCTTTTGCATTATGAAGTAATTAGAATAATTTTTTTTCCCTCGGTGTTGGAATGCAACTGATTCTCTGGCTCCCAGTTGAAGGTGGCGGCTCATTTTCTCATAATTAAAAGGGTCCCTGAAAGTGGGGAAGGAGGAGGGAAAAGACAGTTACCTGTTTCTGTAACTGATGTTCTTTGAAATGTATTGCGCATGTTCATTCAACATAGGTGTGTATGCTTGCCACATGTACTGGTGCCGGAAGATTTTCTCTCAGCAGTATCTGTATTTACTATGAGGTAATTAGGGGTACAATAGGAAAATAAAAAACCTGTATTTTTTTGCAGGGTATGACAAGTGGCGATTGTATTCACTCTGTCATGTTGTGATTTCTACTGACTTGTGCTGCACTGTTGTAACAGTGTGTGTGTGCGCCTCAGTTTCCCTGGGCACTGCACCTAGCTGGGGATGGAAGCTTTGGGTGTGACTCACTGAGGGGGAGGCTGTCTGCAGGGCTGGACTGGTTGCTGAGGGTGGGAGGTGGTTTCAGTGGGGGGGGGGTGAGAATGAACTT